ATTCACTCTGTGAAATCCAGGCCTTTAACCTCTGAAGTCCTGAATTTTTTCTGTGGAATCCTGGCCTTTAATCTGTGAAATCCTGAATTTATTCTGTGGAATCCTGGCCTTTAATCTGTGAAGTCATGAATTTACTCTGTGATATCCTGGCCTTAAATCTGTGAACCGCTGCCTGTATTCTGTGAAGTCCTACATCTGATCTGTGAAGTGCTGCTCTTTAATCCGTGAAATCCCCTGTGCCAACCCTGCTGTAAATTTATTTCCATTCCCCTGCTCAGCCCTGACTCCTGTAAATCCCAGAGCTCTGCCTGTCAGAATCGCTGTCCATCCAAGAGGCACACTTGCTCCTTCACTCCTGTGCCAGCTGGGAATTGTGCAGCTTTCCAGGGTGGTTTATTAGTGCAGGAAGGCAGGAAAATGTGACAAACACCTTCCTGAACTCGCTAAAACACCGAAATGTGTCACGCGGGGAGGAGCAGCTCCGGCCTTGGGCCTGTGGGAAGGAGCAAACAGGTTTTGGGGTGGTTTACAGGGACACAGAGGAGGAATCCCCTGGAGGAGCCGTCTCAAATTGCTGTGAAACCCCAGCAAACTCCTCTGGATGCCAGGGGAGCTGTGATCACACTCACACCTCTTCCAGCACAGGGATTATTTAATGGGATGTTTTTAAACCTGGCTTTGGAGAGAGGTTTTGTGCCCCTGGCTGGGTCAAGCTGTCTCCTGAACCGTGGCTGTGCAAGAGCTGCTGTGACACCTCGTGGTGTGTGAAAATGACCCCCAAAATATCAATTATTGGGTACAATAATTGATATTAATATTTGGGTAAAAATAAATATTGATATTCATAATTGGGTAAATACTCTGGATTTCCCCTCCCTCCCAGGGAGGAAATCCCTCCCAATATCCCATCTAAGCCCTGTTTCAGTTTAAAAAAAATCCATTTCTCTCATTCCCATTTCTATGATATTATTCCAACAATTATATATATTATTATATTATTCCAACAATAATACCTATATTATTCCATTATTCCAATAATGACATATATTATTCTATTATTCAATAATAACATATAATGTGATATTATTCCAATAAGAATATATATTCTTATATATTCTTATTCTATATATATAATATATAATATATATTCTTACATTATTCCAGTAGTAATATATATTGTTATATTATTCCAATAATGATATATATTATTATATTATTCCAATAATAATAATATATATTATTCTATTATTCCAATAATATATATATTATATTACTCCAATATATTATTATATTATTCCAATAATTATATATTATTATATTTTTCCAATAATAATTCCAAACCCTCAGGTGGGCAGACACCCCAGGAGCTCCACACAAACCATACAGCACCCTGTCCCTAAAAGCCGCCCACTAAAACATCCTAATCCCAAGGGAACAACACCCAAACAGCTGAAAAATCCATTAAAACTCGATTTTTTTTTTGCCCTGAGCAGGCATCTAAAGCCTCACCCAGAGCAGGAGATGCCTGGCCTGGTTTGTGGATGATTATTCCCCCAAACAAACCCACCAAGCTCCACTGCTCATCCTCAGTGCTGACAGGCACCAAGGTTAATTGGTCACAATTGCATCCCCCAATTCCCAGCCCAGAGAAGTGCCAGGAGCCAGAGGTAAATCACACAACCAACCCACTTGCTGCCTCCGAGTTTAAATAAATAGAAATCCCAGGCTAATTAATATTTAGGAAATGCAAAAGTTGTCATCTTAAATCAGGCTGAAACACAATAATCACATTAAGTGCTTACTTCAGCAAAATAGCCCTGAAATGCAAAGTGTTGGTGAGTTATGGGAGTATTTATCCCCTTAATTGACTCCTGGCTCTGGCAGAACTCCATTACCCAGGAGTTAGGAGGAAATTTAATTCCAATCCTCGTGTCTGCACTCAAGGACTTCTGTTGGACTTGGGTTTATTTTCAGCTGCAGCACTGAAGGGCTGCATTTTTCCAGTTGCAATCCTGCTCAGTTGAGCAACAAATGTGACATTTCGTGTTTCATCTGCTGACCTTCCGCTCATATCTGGGAAATTTTTCATCCTGTTCTCCTTCTGTTTTCCCTTCCAGGTGTCCTTTAAGGCAAGAAGGAACTCGGTGTTTTAGCAGGGAGAGTCTGGTAGGAATTATTTAGACAAGAGGGGAATTCAGACACTTTTTTTCCTGGGTTCAGTGAACAGCTTGGGACCTCAATTTCTGTGGAATCGTGGAATATTCTGGGTTAAAAAGGGGTCTTGAGGATTTTTGGACCCTGGGATAGTGGGAGGTGTCCATATCCACTCCCATGGCACTGGAAAATCTTGAAATTCCCTTCCAACCCAAACCATTCCATGAAAATGATCATTCTCACTGCAGAATATGGAATATTTCCTACATCAGACCCTTCAGAACATCCTGAATCCCTTTGGGACCTCTGAAATCCTCACCCTGTGAAATCCAAGAGCTCCCAGGCCGGCTCCCAATGGATTTGCGTCATTCCCCTCCTTTGTGGCAGGGAGAGAAGGTGGAAACCTCAAAAAAGTTGAGATTAAAAGACTCTGGGTACCCACAGCTGCTTTGGGATCCAACCAGAATTTGTGTTCTCAGCAGCAAAAACGGAGTTTTATATATATATTTATTTTTTTATTTATATATTTTTAGATTTTTTTTTAATATATATATATTATCCAAATGGATCATGGCAAATCTCCCCCCAGGAATCCTGCTCTGCTTCTCCACCCCAATCGTGGCCCTCCTGGCTCAGCTCTCCATGTAACTGATGGTTGAAGGATTCCAGCTTCAGTGGCCACCAGATTCCCTCCAAACCATCTTTCCCTGAAATCCCTCCCCTCTCCCAGCCACTGAGATGCTGAAATTCCTGAATTTCCCCCTAAAAGGACGTCACCAGTCTTGTTGATGTTTATTGAAACTTTGCAACATCTCTGGCTTGGAGATGTATTTTTAGCTCCGTACTTCTTGAAATGTGAAAGTGTTGCTGGCCCCCAGTCAGGGAACAGCAGGGTTAATGCAGAGCCTGGAGCAGCTCTCCCATCTGTTCCAGCTTCCATCCAACCATGGAGTTTTACGAGAGCTCTCTAGGAGGGCTCCGAGTTCTCTGTTTTGTAGTATTCCCTAAAAAAAAAAATCAAGCTTGGAAAGCCGCCCGTGCCAAACAGGAGGAGGTGAAGCCTTGGAAGAGACAAAGGAACTTGGGAACATCAGATTTCTTTCGCGTTTTTTCAGGAATTCTGTTTGTTTTGATTGACGTTGAAATTAGAGACGGAACAGATGGAGCGAGGGTACAGCAGGATGAGCCGAGCCGAGGCTCTGACACTCTAATGAGGGATGAGGAGGCAGGAGCTGCTGATTGGGTTCTTCTTTGGAGCCTAATTTGTGTTTTATTTGCCCTGATGCTTCTGCCAACAGCAACAGATTCCTAACCAGGCTGGCCCTGGACCCCTGGAAGTGTCCAAGGTCAGGATGGATGGGACTTGGAGCAATTCTGGGACAATGGGAAATGGATGGGATGGGATGGGATGGGATGGGATGGGATGGGATGGGATGGGATGGGATGGGATGGGATGGGAT